GTCAACCTTGAGCCGGTGAGATTTGAACCGCCGAACTACAGATAGCAGTCAGCTGAAGTGGCCTGCAGTACTGCACTCTAACCACTGCGCCACCTTGGATCTAGAGCATAATCTACTAGAACAGTGATGGCTAACCTTTTTGCCATCGTGTGCCAAAAGCGGCGGGAGTGCAAGGGTATTGTGCACGGGCGTGCCCATACCCATAATTCTATGCCCATGACACCACCACCCTCATACACAGGGAGGGGAAGCCTCCGGAGGGCGAAAAACAGCCGAAGATGAAGGCCTAAGTCAGCTGGCCAGCGCATGCAACTGACAGGGCAATGCCTCGCGTGCCCTAACAACTGGCTCCGTATGCCACCTGTGGCACGTGTGCCGTAGGTTCACCATTACGGTACTAGAATGTACTGTGTGGGCAGAAAGAGTACTGAGTGAATGCATAACTTCCTTTAATAAATTAAAACACTACTTTGATGGTACATCCCTTTCAGCAAGGATCAATTTTAAATATCTGTAGTTGCCAGCAAGTTTCTGGAATATTACTTCTGCTCATTTATAAAAGAAAATATTGGTGTGGCATAAAAGCTATGTCTGGGCTGTGAACCAAAGAATCTGTAACTCAAATCTTTCTTTTTATGATATGGCCTTAAGAAATCCTCTGAAATCCCATCCCTCAGAAGAGCAGCAGATAGATCTGGTTAGAATAGTTCTAGAAATTCCAGAAGCAAAGAAACCAGCCTTCTCTCATCTTCACACGGAATTTTGTTTCTGAGATTAATTCCCAATTAAAATAGCCTCAAGAATTTTTTTTTAGTGTAGCCTTATTTACAAGTTGGACTTTGAAATATGATTCAGAAAGTGAGCAAGTTAAATACTATATAAATAAATGGATAAAGACAGAACAATGATATGTAACAATTAGAATTTCAAGGGAAGAACAATGTTAAATTTACCGCCACAAACTTAGGGGAAATTATTGTAAAATATTTTACTGACGGGGTATCACTCAAGAATTGATTGCTAAAATTGATAATTTGTTTGTAAA